CCCCACCAAATTTTGATTTTTTTTTTTAAAATGTCCATGCACTTGCTGCAGCTAGCTTGTATTCACACAGTTTTGGACGCGCACGGCGCACGCAGGTCGTCGAACCATTTTTCTCGGTGCTCTGAGCATTATCACAAAAGCTGCACGTATATGTAAATACAGGAAGACGACATAATGAGTTTGGGACAATCTTATAATGGAACAAATTGTGTGGCACAAATTTATGTTATTATGCAGGTCTGTTCGATTTGTTATTCTTCCTGGTTACCTTTTTTACGAGTAACCCGTCCAAACTCCGAGATTGATAGCGATTATAATTGCCGGCCATTGATGTTAATTCAATCAGCATCAATCAGGCGGAAATTCGTCGCATTCCGTCCGAGATTATATTGTGAGTAACTTCGAATAAGGGGACGTGGTTTGTGTTAACTTTTGGAATATCTTTGTCTCCAAAAATAAGACGCATTTTGTTTGATTTCAGTGCAGCTATCCGGGTCTGTACAAGAATTGTACCTTTATTGAGTCACTGTTTCTTTGATGCCTGGGATGAAACATTTGGCTGCGTTCCGAATAGCCATAACGAAATGGGTGAAAGTGGAAATTTGCGTTAATCATACCAGAATGGTTTAAAATCCCATGTGCCCTGACATTGGTACTCATGTATGTCAACTCAGGAAATCACAATCCGGAATCGAAAACCTACACCGAATACGCATTTAAAAGAGCCTATCTAGTCACGAATTTAATATATACCGTGATCGATCTAATCAATGAAGAGATAATGACCCCCCTAAACGACACCCCCTTGTGACTTACCTAATATGCTTACTTCGTTGATAAGAATGATCTGAACCAATTATAATTGAATAATAATTACGGTAGGGGTCCTTTTCCGCTGGGCGAAAGAACTTCGTGAATCGAATTGAATTGACAACACGAAACATTCGCGGCGAAATCCGCCGTGATTATAATTATGTTCGATTGTTGCGATTTCTCTGTGTCAAAAAAAATCCAAACGTGTCGTTACGTCGATGTCTCAAATTAATTGCGTTCGCTTGTGCTTTTCTGCTGAGTATATGGGGCGCATTTTGGTGGTTCAACTCAGTCGGTTTTGTTGTTTCTCATTGGTTGAGAGTTTCAGCCACATAAAGATGTGAAGAAATCTTGCGTGAATTACTGCCCCACCCAAGTCACCAATACGTTAAGCAATGATAAACAAACGAACCCATTTTTAGCTGCGGGATACAGCTCAACAAATCATCATGTCTCTCCGTTAGGCCAAAAAAAAAAAAAAAACTCGGTCTCTGGTCAGCGCGCGCGTCGATTTTAATCATGCGCGTCAACTTTTTTTTTTTCAAATTAACACGGAAGCTACAACAGCGCCCTCTATTGCCGCACCTCCTCAAATTTTTGTACTAAGGAGCACCAAGGAATGGAGAAATTGCACCAAGGCAAATGATAAAGGGCACCAAGGCAAATGATGGAGGACACTAATGTATAATGAGGACACAAAAAAGCAAAATAGTACCCACCTTGTCTGTACAATTGAAGCTTGAAAAAAAAAAAAAACACCCCCCCCCCAAAAAAAAGCGTCGCCGCATCAATTCCGGAACTTCGGTCTGACCAGAGACCGATCTTCTTTTTTGGGGGGCCTTAGTCCGTCTAGTTAGTTAGTAACAAACGTTGACATTGTCTATTGGTCCTACATATTTCGACCGATTTCCACCAGGCTTTGCCAAAAGTATCAGTAGCCCAGCCCCAACATGTCACATGACCAAACTGGGGTCAAACGTCATCATGGGGTCACTGGGGCCAAAAACCTGATTTTATTTTATTAAAACTCAAAACCCCATTACTTCCAGAAATTACACGGCACAATCACGTGACTCATGCATGAACACGAACTCGTTGGATCCTGTTTGACAATATTTTTATTGGAAGATGTTACACCACACACTCATATTTCCAATTGAAACCTCGCTAACAAAACAGTCAACGCAAAATGTATGAATTTCTCACAATATTCACAAAGATTGACAGTGCCTGACCTAACTCTCACCCATGTGCTCCTCCTTCATAGTTTTAGTCATTTGGCCTAAAGAAATGAACCTATGTGGTGTCCACATGTCATGACATAGTACATTTAATCCTGGCCTATGTCTTTTTTTCTTAGTGCCCCTCTCCACCAACCTAATAAACTGAAAGCCGTGGGTTATACACCTGGTTCCCCCTCAAGATGGCCGTTTAATATCTTCACCTAAAAAGGCAGAGTTCTTAACATGAGTTAAATGCTTTGGGAGGCGAGCTTGGGGAACTATTGCTGTTTCTTCACGGACAGGTATTTCCCCACTGACTCATGCGGATACTGGGGATATACGAATAATTGGTTTTTCATGTTTAACCAAAAGGGGGAAATCCCTGTGCCTTTGTTTGATTTTGGTCTTTCCTGGTTTGTTTTATCAATAATAATGATCTTGACTTCTTAACAGCACAAGATGGCACAAAATTGGGTCACCTACATTTTGAAATGAATATTATTTTCAAAACGTACATGGAAACTTCCGTTTATAGTTGCATAGTAACGTCTATGGTTATGAAATTAAAATCATAACCATCATGTCTTCTCCACTTCAATTCAATCTAAAGAAATTATGCGAGTACTGTGAATGCCGAAAGGAGTCTTTAAGGCACATGCCACCAAGGTCGGATATCAGTCGTTTGTTTGACGACTGTGTAACCCACACAAAACAATCGACAGTTTATCATGATCATGAGAATACCAAACTAACAATATAGCCCATCACCAAACCAAGTAGTTTTTATATCGATACGAATAAGACGAAACACTGTTCAATCTGTAGCATATCAGTATCACAGAAATGTCAAGACTCATACATTTGTAGTGGTTTGTGAGCTTTCGAAGGATCTGTTAGCACCCACAGTCACACTTTGCTCGCATCACCTTGTCAGTTTCTCATTTCCCTCTTCGTTTCCTTACTGCTTTCGATAGCTAATGTAATTTGTGGAAGACGTGAGTGGAGAGACGTTTGACTGAGTGGCAGGTCTGACGAACAAAAAAAAAGAAAATCTGTGTGGAATTGCAAATTGCATTAAGGCCCACGCAGTCGTGTACAAGTCATGTCCAAGTCCATGTATTAAAACACCATGTACACATGCGAATGCCAACTAATAACTATGCGTGTTGGGAGCTCCCCCCCTTTCACCAACATTACTCGCCGGCAAAACTTGGTCCAAAGCCAAAGCGGAAACCCTGGCTTTCCCGAGTCTTTCCTGGATGCCCCAGGTTGCTGAATGAAGGGCAGGACTAAGTGTTCAGGCTCCTTGCTTCGCTGATCGTCAGCAGTGGAAGTAATTATACCTAGATGAGATATCGAGCCTCAAGGTGGTGACCGCATTCCTGATATCAAAATAGGGATAGTTGAATTTTTAGTTAATGATGCTGCACTTTACATGCATCAGTATCACTTCGTATACGTGGCAAAGTCATGCTGTACAGCCTAGTACAGGCATCACGCCTTGCACGAAGAATGTATTCCCGATGTCTTAACTTTAAGGCAACACAACAACTGTGTATGGAACACATAACATTCAGTTTAGTTTCTTTATATACTATCCACTTAAGTGAATATCGACGTGAATATTATTGTACCAGTTTTATTGGAAATAAATCGTACTTATATCGATTGTAATAGTTAATGGTAGGCTGTACAAATCCTTTCAAAAGTTCTGCAAGTTACAGGTTATGGAAATGTTGCCTCCAATATTATAATTTCCAATAATATTAATGGAGCGTCAGTTCATAGAAGAACCTGCTGCGACTCGAGGGATTTTATTGTGAGGCGAACCCATCATTGACTGACGCTTCCAATGCACTTCCTGTGGTGTCTTTTACGGGGAAGAAATTAATAGCTTGATCTCTGCCCTTCGTAGTAATATATCAAAGTGCAAGGGTCACCGGCCAGTTGACTCAACACTGACCTAAATATGACCATACCGCCAGTCCAAATATTTCACTTACCATCATTTTTCATCCTGAATTAAGAGAGAGCTCCGGATTTTAACGATGGTGTTTGAAATCCTCATTGGCATGTACGTATATGCGTTAACCGTTGTTCGATGAAACACCTAATCAACACAAGATATATGATGCGCAGACGGCAGAAGTGGGGTGCAGGGGGGGGGGGCAAGGGGGAATTCGCCTCAGTCCCAATTTCTGAAAATTATGTCTCTTGGATCCTCTTATTACAAAGTACTGTGTCCCTTCCGCGATCAAAGGTGGTTCCTTTCAGTGTGTCGAATTATCCCCCAATTATTTTGTGGCCGCAGTGCAAAAAAAAAGGGGTCTGGTTAGGCCTACACCTTGCTGAGAGGTTGGAAATTTGCTAAACCTTTCACAAAGTTCAGTTGAGGTCACTGATTTTTTTTTCGTCGAGTGAAGTTGAAGCCAACCTTTACACCATTCGCTAGCGTCGAATGACGCCTAGTGACGAAGATCTAGAGATCCCTAGATCCCCGTGCAGCTAAATATCATCCACCATCATCATCATTCTGTCCTCAAATTAGCAGATGATAAAATACCCATTGCGCCAAGCTCCCAGATGTCATAAATCCAGCCACTGAAATGTTCATCCCCTCTCGGCTGACAGATATCCCTCCGACATCGCACGTCATGTCTAATTTCGTCACACTCGCAATCTGAGTGGAGTTAAGTAGGCAGGAAGAATCTTCTAATTGGGAGTTAATTACTTGATGCTGCCTAGCCAGCTATGACTTTCATGTAAATTTACTACTTATAATGTGAACCGCTTTTATAACGTGAGGCATTACTCTGACTAAATTTACATGAAGCAGGCACACGTCTGTTCAAGAACATCGTCAGTGATCCATGCTTGGGTCGTACAGTGAGGTCTTGTGCAGGTTTTATAGCTACACTTATCCATCTGGATATATTGAGAGATTTTTCTGCCTTCATTCCTCAGATTGTGCTCCTCGTGCTTTCTGTTGTCAAAGACGAAAACGATGACATTCAAGACAGTCAGCATTCTCTTGGCGATTGTGTTTGTGACGTCATCAGGGGCACTGAACACTCATCGGAGAATCCGTGAGGTAAGTGGGTTCCCCTCCTGTAAAATGATACAGGCCTCCTTTACAACTCGATCGAGAAGTTTGGTTAATAACCACGATAAGACTAGCATCGAACGCACGCTAGTTTAGGACCGTACTTGCATCTCTTGAAATTAACCGTGTGTATGTGGCATGGGCGATGAGGATTCGTTTCGACCGGGAAATATTCACCAGTCCTTAGACCTCGTTTGAATATTCCCCGCGCAGGCTCAAGTTACCTCGCTTATCAACTACTACTACTACTACTTTTTTGTCTAACTCAAAAACTACTGGGCACCTCTCACTCAAATAACGACTACTCAGTACAGAAATTCCTTAGCAATGCAGCCATACTCTTTATTTGGCCCAAAACAGTGATAATGTGTACGAATTTATGCAATTTATGACAAATGATACCGAAAACCGTGAGTTGCACTTTTGTATACGTGCAAGTTGTGGTTCACACTCACCTTGCACGTATACAAAAGTGCAACTTTTTTCGGTACCATTTGTCATAGATTGCATAATTTTGTACACACTACATGTATCGCTGTTTTGGGCCAAACAAAGAGTATGGCTGGATTGCTAAGCAATTTCTGTACTGATCAGTCATAATTTGAGCAAGATGTGCCCAGCAGTTTTTGAGTTGGACAAGTATTAAGGGGGGACTTTCTTTTTTGGTTGAGTGTAGTTCACTATTATTATGGTACTTGATCTGACTTTTGTTATCAGAACTACTGCTGTCCTCAAGGAAGTTTGAAAAAAAAATGATTTCGTTGTTATTTGGTATTGGTATTGCTTAATTAATTAATTACTTAATTTGTTTTACTTGTGGTATGATGAAAATATTAAAACCTTTAACTTTCTCAAAACAATTGTAGGTTGTTTTTCCTGAAATTTCTACGTGGACAAAATTACCTTCCCCGAATTCATTGCACGTTTGAGCTAAATGGAAAGCAGGGATTCAAGTTTTGCTTGCATCAGTGATGATACTTTTAGGCCTATTGTAAAGAATTCAGCCTTTAAACGTTTTGAAACAACACATTCATCTGAAAGTTGGAAAAGCAGCCATTGTGATTCTTCTTCCGCCTATGGAAATGAAAAACGACAGTGGCAGCTAGACTTATGAACGTGTTGAGAACAAATCCTGGTACATCACACACATGTCGATTAACATTAAGGGAGCTTATCAAGTTCAAAAAATCTCAAGATTGCCAATGGAAGACGGCTTCAGCGACATGAGTCACGCGTCGTTTGGCGTCAAGGGGACCGTATATTGATGTTGAGGAGAACTTGGCAATGTCTCCAAGACTGTGAAATGTTAGCAACCCATTTGCCGAAATGACTGTTGACAACGCTGTAGCTTTCCGGCGCGCCTATCCACCTCGACGTGCTCTCTTAGATCTAACCCTTACCAGGTGGTCCCCGCGTTCTGTTAAGAGACCTTGATTCGAACAAGGCCAACTTGAATCGTGTTTTATTGATCGGAGATTGTTTAATATCGAAAGGAATTTTGTTCCAATACGATTTTAACTTTCGAATGGATCAATTATAAAGATGTTAGCTTGCGGGTACACTACGGAATTAATCGTTTCTGTGAAGATTGTTAGTTCTGAAAAGAACTGGTTATGAGATTAAGTGATATAAATTTCGAAAGAGAAACGAGTGAAGTGTATTGTACAACTGTGTGTATCCAACCCTCGGTTTGGGTTCGATTATCCCTATTCCGACTGCACAAACGGTTTTAGACTGTTCTTTAGCTTTTATAGCGATTTTGTTCTCACTTGAACACTCACATGATAATAATAATTTGGGAGGCTAATCATCCTTACTCGCAGCTGGTAAGCTGAATTGCGAAGGACGCAGCTACAACGTGGTCGGGCCGCTGGCACGTAAAGGCGCCTATGGCTGCCGGCCACATCGACCCATATATGACCACGGAGCGCAGCCTGAGATCGAAAGTGTTTTATATTTCCGGAGGGAAGAAAAGCGGAGGGCCCGGAGAAAAACCCTCGTGGCACAGGAGAGAACCAACGCACAATTCAAACCGTGGTCACCTTGGTGAGAGGCGAGCGCTTTACGCACAAGCCACCCATGCCACTATAATATTTTAGCCTTGGTTACCCCTCGTTTCGTTCCCGCAACTACCAGGGAACGATAGGTAAATAAGCGCCCAAAGCGACTTGCGAACCTCCCCCCCCCCCCCTCAAAAAAAAAAGACCACAGAAAATAAAATATTTTTAACACCATCCTGTATCATGAAAAGCAGTCAGTATTTAAACTATATTTAGAAGGGCTGCAAGAAATGGAGAAGGTCCGATATATAGTCGATCCTTCATGCATGAACCGGACCAATACTGCAACTGTCTATGTTAACCTCACAACAGGTGTCCTCCCCTGCAGCCTCCAATTATCAATTTGTTATTCTAAATTACGCCTACTTTGATAGTCATAAAGAAATTGGTCAATGATATTATAGCGCCGAAAAGACCTCATTCAGAATTTGACCCCCAAAAGGCGCCAAACCAGTGGGTCAGAATGTGTGCCGTGCTGTCCCGCCCCTGCCGCTTCCTCCTCGCTCCTCGTCAAAATTCACTCAGCTCCCACTTAGGCCACAAAGGATTTGACTATTATCCTGTAATTGAACATCAAGTGGTAAATGGAAACGACCTCTGATTGGTTGATTGACCAGCGGGGAATTGGGGGTTACGGTTTTTTGACAATTTGATCTCTGATTTTGTTACGGGTTGATTCGGCTCCCCTTGTCGCTCTGATTACGATGATTGGAAACACGTGGAATTTATTTTCATACTTACCACTTGCTATCTCCGATGTAATTGTGACCCCAATACCCCCTTGGTGCATGCCACTTGCAATCGTCTATCAGCAAGCTTATTGCACGTTTGATTGGAACATTATCATATGACGTTTGGTAAACAAATGGTTGAACACTAATTAATGTGAAAATAATGCAGCGGAGAGAAAACGAGAAACTTCGTCACAAAACGTTTAAAGCAGCAGTGTTAGCCAAAGCTCTCAAAGAATTCGTAATAAGCGTCACTATGCAGATTAAGAAACGATCGCTTGTACATCGCAAGATGGTTAATTGCAAACCTGCACAAAAATACAAAACCGCATTATTCTCAACGAATGCCGATGGCAATCAAATTATCACTTACTTCTAGTCCTTGGCTATGACATGCAAAATGACCATTTAACTTGAAAACATGTACTGATTGCTCTGCAGTGATTGCATAATGATACATTTTTGCACCATGTAATTGATACCTCCCACGATGTAATTTTCAGATTGAAATAACATGAAACTTATCTGCAATCTATATCAAACCTTTATGGTCCCTGTGTCGCAACGTGTGGAATAATATTTTGTTGAGCTTTAATATCCAAATTACTTAAATGAATAAAAACAAAATAAAAACCCAGTCTAACAACCATTCATGTGTACATACTCTCACACCGAACAGGATTCGGTAACGCAGAAAATATCCAAGGGTTTCTAATTATGACGGGAATAATGATACGCTTCAAAATATGAGGAGAGAGTATAGGCCTATACGTATATTGGTTAACATGATAGAAATGTAATTCTAGAGCTATTTTATATATAACTCCCATAGTGCTTGACTTTGAATACACTATGCAACCATTTCTTTTTTTTTTTGAAGTACCATTTCCGATCGTTTTGCCACGACAACTCTTTATATAGGTTGCACTTGGCAGTGACCTAAGTTGACTCTGGAGTGACCTTAAATGACCCTAGAGACCGCCGGAGATACACCTGTTGGTCCGTATAGACGGAATACCCCTTTTGGTAAAAAGCCAAGGATATAAACTGCATACAACATCGTACATAACCCTTATTTCGTTCGACACATTTGTAACAGGTTTGTAAGTGATGAAAGCAAAAGACGACTGTCTTTGATGAAACACGGACCTCGAGGGTCCAATTCATGAATGCAGCAAAAACCCATTAACTTGCTCGAGCCGGCTGGTTGACAAAAAATAAATCTCACATTTTTCTCGACATTGTAGGCCTATTTTGTGTACATATTAGTAAGTCCGCCCTGGCTAAGAACAACTTCGAGATAAAATGCGAACTACACATGACGCAACCTTTCTGTCAATTATTGTGCCGTTAGTCGAAGCTGTCAACTATACGCCAAAAGGGAATCTCTTGACAATTCCTTGAATAATAAGACTCGCAAAATAACGGGAAGTGACACAAGAAGGTGTACTGAAAAGGGGGAACTCAACAGGTGTTGCTTGAAAACCACCTGACAACACCTGGCGGGATCAATGATCTTTAAGCTTCACCTTGGGATGAGAGTAGTGCAGACCAAACCCGGTGACTATTTACTGTGCATGTAAATAGGCGAAGTAAAGTCCGTTTCTACTGAGTCGTTAGTTTCAACAATGTCCGCGCTTTGTGGAGTTTTTTCTCAGTATAAGGTGCCACCTCGCCACCTTTTTTTTTATCAGGCTCGGCTTATTTGCTGCTATACCAGTTGAAACGTTCAAGCTTCTGTCTGAGATGACTTCACCGTAAGTTGGAAATAAAATAGAAATTCGTATTAGCATAAAAAAGAGGCACCAAAACACGCTTGAATATGGAATTAGGTATCTCATAAACAGAATTTTCGGGCCCTTTCTATATTCACATTACTTTAACCATTTTTGGGGGAAATATCATCAAAGTATAAGCCCACGATCTGCGCAATTGACCGTTTACTTGATAGGACTCCCGCCACAATTCCCCCGTTGCAAAGTACACCTGATAGATGACATCGCCAGCTGATGCAATTTCTGCTTGTTATTGACTGATTATGCAATTTGCAGGCTGAGGAAGATCGCTTTCCCAGTTTCGAGTTTCAAGGTCAGGTCTGGAAAAAAAATATACAGGATTATTCAAACACAAGGCTTCTCTATTTTAAGCTGAAAATGAACAGCGTAAATTCAAAACTATTAACATTGTATTAAAATAA